AAGAACTTTTTTAGTGTCAGAGTGGTTGACAAATGGAATGCATTAGGGGGTGATGTGGTGGAGGCTCACTCCATACACAGTTTCAAGTGTAGATATGACAGAGCCCGATAGGCTCATGAATCTGTACACCTGTTGATTGACGGTTGAGAGGCGGGACCAAAGAGCCAGAGCTCAACCCCCGCAAACACAACTAGGTGAGTACAACTAGGTGAGTACACACACACACACACACACACACACACACACACACACACACACACACACACACACACACACACACACACACACACACACACACACACACACACACACACACACACACACACACACACACACACACACACAAACACACACACAATTGAGGATATGTTCAATAATGAAGGTACCATTACACCTTTTGTTGGCTATTGTGTGCACCCACCTACTTGTGTATGAATACATGAAGGACTGAGCCTAAGCTCTTGGTCCCCGCCTCTACAGCCCCAGGTTGCCTAATACCACAACACACCCCCCCCCCCGATTACCCTGGAGGCATAACTTATCTTCTACACCCTAGAGTGACCTGCGGCAGGATTCACCAATCATCTACGTTTCCTTACGAAACATGTACATCTTTCATCAATTATGGCCTACTGGTGTACACTCACACCTGTAACCCACAGGTGTGTACTGGTGTACACTCACACCTGTAACCCACAGGTGTGTACTGGTGTACACTCACACCTGTAACCCACAGGTGTGTACTGGTGTACACTCACACCTGTAACCCACAGGTGTGTACTGGTGTACACTCACACCCGTAACCCACAGGTGTGTACAGGTGTACACTCACACCTGTAACCCACAGGTGTGTACAGGTGTACACTCACACCCGTAACCCACAGGTGTGTACTGGTGTACACTCACACACCCGTAACCCACAGGTGTGTACAGGTGTACACTAACACCCGTAACCCCCAGGTGTGTACAGGTGTACACTCACACCCGTAACCCACAGGTGTGTACTAATGTACACTCACACCTGTAACCCACAGGTGTGTACAGGTGTACACTCACACCCGTAACCCACAGGTGTGTACTGGTGTACACTCACACACCCGTAACCCACAGGTGTGTACAGGTGTACACTAACACCCGTAACCCCCAGGTGTGTACAGGTGTACACTCACACCCGTAACCCACAGGTGTGTACAGGTGTACACTCACACCCGTAACCCACAGGTGTGTACTGGTGTACACTCACACCCGTAACCCACAGGTGTGTACAGGTGTACACTCACACCCGTAACTCACAGGTGTATACAGGTGTACACTCACACCCGTAACCCACAGGTGTGTACTGGTGTACACTCACACCCGTAACCCACAGGTGTGTACAGGTGTACTCACACCCGTAACCCACAGGTGTGTACTGGTGTACACTCACACCCGTAACTCACAGGTGTGTACAGGTGTACACTCACACCCGTAACCCACAGGTGTGTACAGGTGTACACTCACACCCGTAACTCACAGGTGTGTACAGGTGTACACTCACACACCCGTAACCCACAGGTGTGTACAGGTGTACACTCACACACCCCTCAATGGCATACCCGGAGCATACCTGTAGAAGGTTTCAAGAGTGCTCCTACTCCCCGAGTCCGGCCCGGAGCTGCGGCCGCTGTCTCCTTCACGCTCACAGGGAGCCGGTCGGCCGAGCGGACAGCACGCTGGACTTGTGATCCTGTGGTCCTGGGTTCGATCCCAGGCGCCGGCGAGAAACAATGGGCAGAGTTTCTTTCACCCTATGCCCCTGTTACCTAGCAGTAAAATAGGTACCTGGGTGTTAGTCAGCTGTCACGGGCTGCTTCCTGGGGGTGTAGGCCTGGTCGAGGACCGGGCCGCGGGGACACTAAAAGCCCCGAAATCATCTCAAGATCTCAAGATAACCTCACAGAGTCTTGTGTCTCGGAGAGGCTGCAGGGTCCAGGTAGTTCAGTAAAACTTCGGTTCCAACACTTTTGACCATGTCGTAGCTCAGTCAATTAAGGCAGCGTCTGGGATGCTCCCGGACGTAGGTTCGAATCCTCGTCACGGCCCTTGTGGATTTGTTCATTTGCTGACAGAGTCATTCTCAGTAACTGGCCAATGGGACTCTGCCCCAGACCGTGTCCACCAATCACGGCTGTTCTCCTACGCCAAGCCGGCCAATCCCACGAGGCAAGACAGACGGCCGTAGGCTTGTATAATGGACAATCCCAATCACTTCCACAATCCTGGAGGATTGTTGAAGTGATTGGAGAGAATTGGGGTTGTGACAGATGATTACCTTAACAGGTTGTAGGTGTTGTAAGCACACCTGTCAGTCCTGGACGACACCTGTCTGTCCTGGACGACACCTGTCTGTCCTGGACGACACCTGTCAGTCCTGGACGACACCTGTCTGTCCTGGACGACACCTGTCTGTCCTGGACGACACCTGTCTGTCCTGGACGACACCTGTCTGCCCTGGACGACACCTGTCTGTCCTGGACGACACCTGTCAGTCCTGGACGACACCTGTCTGTCCTGGACGACACCTGTCTGCCCTGGACGACACCTGTCTGTCCCCTAGTGCGTGTGCCCCTTGTGTTAAATAAACTCTTTATCTACCCTATCAATTTCTTTGAGAATCTTATATGTGGTGATCATGTCCCCCCCTAACTCTCCTGTCTTCCAGCGACGTGAGGTTTAATTCCCGTAGTCTCTCCTCATAGCTCATGCCCCTCAGTTCGGGCACGAGCCTGGTGGCAAACCTCTGAACCTTCTCGAATTTAGTTTTATGCTTGATGAGATAGGGACTCCATGCTGGAGCTGCATACTCCAGGACTGGTCTGACATATGTGGTATACAAGGTTCTGAATGATTTCTTACTCAAGTGTGTGGGAGTCCTTCCACAAGAGGGGTGGAGGTGTGTGTGTGTGTGTGTGTGTGTGTGTGTGTGTGTGTGTGTGTGTGTGTGTGTGTGTGTGTGTGTGTGTGTGTGTGTGTGTGTGTGTACACCAACAAATGCACACTCTACATACCATCACACTGAGTTAAGAGCCAACACACACATACCTGCAGGGGGGAGAAGATAATCAAATTAATACACTGTTATGAACACGTTTTGAACACTACACCAGCCCTGGCTAGGGTAGACCCCACCAGCCCTGGCTAGGGTAGACCCCACCAGCCCTGGCTAGGGTAGACCCCACCAGCCCTGGCTAGGGTAGACCCCACCAGCTCTGGCTAGGGTACACCCCACCAGCCCTGGCTAGGGTAGACCCCACCAGCCCTGGCTAGGGTAGACCCCACCAGCCCTGGCTAGGGTAGACCCCACCAGCTCTGGCTAGGGTACACCCCACCAGCCCTGGCTAGGGTAGACCCCACCAGCCCTGGCTAGGGTAGACCCCACCAGCTCTGGCTAGGGTAGACCCCACCAGCCCTGGCTAGGGTAGACCCCACCAGCCCTGGCTAGGGTGGACCCCACCAGCCCTGGCTAGGGTAGACCCCACCAGCCATGGCTAGGGTAGACCCCACCAGCCCTGGCTAGGGTGGACCCCACCAGCCCTGGCTAGGGTTGACCCCACCAGCCCTGGCTAGGGTAGACCCCACCAGCCCTGGCTAGGGTAGTCCCCACCAGCCCTGGCTAGGGTAGACCCCACCAGCCCTGGCTAGGGTAGACCCCACCAGCCCTGGCTAGGGTAGACCCCACCAGCCCTGGCTAGGGTAGACCCCACCAGCCCTGGCTAGGGTAGACCCCACCAGCCCTGGCCAGGGTGGACCCCACCAGCCCTGGCTAGGGTAGACCCCACCAGCCCTGGCTAGGGTAGACCCCACCAGCCATGGCTAGGGTAGACCCCACCAGCCCTGGCTAGGGTAGACCCCACCAGCCCTGGCTAGGGTGGACCCCACCAGCCCTGGCTAGGGTTGACCCCACCAGCCCTGGCTAGGGTAGACCCCACCAGCCCTGGCTAGGGTAGTCCCCACCAGCCCTGGCTAGGGTAGACCCCACCAGCCCTGGCTAGGGTGGACCCCACCAGCCCTGGCTAGGGTTGACCCCACCAGCCCTGGCTAGGGTAGACCCCACCAGCCCTGGCTAGGGTAGTCCCCACCAGCCCTGGCTAGGGTAGACCCCACCAGCCCTGGCTAGGGTAGACGCCACCAGCCCTGGCTAGGGTAGACCCCACCAGCCCTGGCTAGGGTAGACCCCACCAGCCCTGGCTAGGGTACACCCCACCAGCCCTGGCTAGGGTACACCCCACCAGCCCTGGCTAGGGTAGACCCCACCAGCCCTGGCTAGGGTAGACCCCACCAGCCCTGGCTAGGGTAGACCCCACCAGCCCTGGCTAGGGTAGACCCCACCAGCCCTGGCCAGGGTGGACCCCACCAGCTCTGACTAGGGTAGACCCCACCAGCCCTGGCTAGGGTAGACCCCACCAGCCCTGGCTAGGGTAGACCCCACCAGCCCTGGCTTGGGTAGACCCCACCAACCCTGGCTAGGGTAGACCCCACCAGCCCTGGCTAGGGTAGACCCCACCAGCCCTGGCTAGGGTAGACCCCACCAGCCCTGGCTAGGGTAGACCCCACCAGCCTTGGCTAGGGTAGACCCCACCAGCCCTGGCTAGGGTAGACCCCACCAGCCCTGGCCAGGGTAGACCCCACCAGCCCTGGCTAGGGTAGACCCCACCAGCCCTGGCTAGGGTACACCCCCACCAGCCCTGGCTAAGGTAGACCCCACCAGCCCTGGCTAGGGTAGACCCCACCAGCCCTGGCTAGGGTAGACCCCACCAGCCCTGGCTAGGGTAGACCCCACCAGCCCTGGCTAGGGTAGACCCCACCAGCCCTGGCTAGGGTAGACCCCACCAGCCCTGGCTAGGGTAGACCCCACCAGCCATAAATATAATAAATTTTGATATAATAGATAGACACAATGTATCGTATACTGACTCACAGTGAGGAAGGGAGAGCAAGAGATGAATGAAGGGCAACCTTACCCATGGTATCTGGCGGCCATCTTCAGATTTACGTCAGGTCGAGGAGTAAGTCTGGAGTCTGTAGGCTGTTGAAACTCATCTCCAAGTGGAGTTCCGGCCGTCACTCTCATACTCCACACGAGGGGGACCTCTGACTCCTCCTAGGGCAGCTCCTCGAGGGGGTAGTCCTTCAAGTATCCCAAGGAACACCTCGACGGAGGATAAGGCTGGCGTCAAGCTTGGGTCAAACACCAGGGGTAGCTCCTCGAGGGGTAGTCCTTCAAGTATCCCAAGGAACACCTCGACAGAGGACAAGGCTGGCGTCAAGCTTGGGTCAAACACCAGGGGTAGCTCCTCGAGGGGTAGTCCTTCAAGTATCCCAAGGAACACCTCGACAGAGGACAAGGCTGGCGTCAAGCTTGGGTCAAACACCAGGGGTAGCTCCTCGAGGGGTAGTCCTTCAAGTATCCCAAGGAACACCTCGACAGAGGACAAGGCTGGCGTCAAGCTTGGGTCAAACACCAGGGGTAGCTCCTCGAGGGGTAGTCCTTCAAGTATCCCAAGGAACACCTCGACAGAGGACAAGGCTGGCGTCAAGCTTGGGTCAAACACCAGGGGTAGCTCCTCGAGGGGTAGTCCTTCAAGTATCCCAAGGAACACCTCGACAGAGGACAAGGCTGGCGTCAAGCTTGGGTCAAACACCAGGGGTAGCTCCTCGAGGGGTAGTCCTTCAAGTATCCCAAGGAACACCTCGACAGAGGACAAGGCTGGCGTCAAGCTTGGGTCAAACACCAGGGGTAGCTCCTCGAGGGGTAGTCCTTCAAGTATCCCAAGGAACACCTCGACAGAGGACAAGGCTGGCGTCAAGCTTGGGTCAAACACCAGGGGTAGCTCCTCGAGGGGTAGTCCTTCAAGTATCCCAAGGAACACCTCGACAGAGGACAAGGCTGGCGTCAAGCTTGGGTCAAACACCAGGGATTTTATCGCGGTCCTTTCACTGTTTTTTTTATTGTTTTTGCTTAACCTTTAATAATAATAGATGGTAACTAGGGTCGGTGACTGGTATATATTGCTACTAGTACTGGTACTAGTACTGGTACTTCCTAGTACTGGTACTTCCTAGTACTGGTACTAGTACTGGTACTTCCTAGTACTGGTACTTCCTAGTACTGGTACTTCCTAGTACTGGTACTTCCTAGTACTGGTACTAGTACTGGTACTTCCTAGTACTGGTACTTCCTAGTACTGATACTTCCTAGTAGAGACTCCTAGCACTGATACTCCCTAGTACTCCAACAGCCAATAAATGGCGTCGTTTGAGGTCCCAGGGAACCTAACAGCCAATCAGCCCCCATACCCTCCCTGGTACAGTATTTACCACACCCCTCGACCCCTTGACGGTACAAGAACCACCTCAAAAGCTTCGGGATCACCATAGCCCGTGCTACTTGGGACATTTTGTTCCAAGTAGCAAATCTTTAGCAAGAACGACATATTCCCATCACATTAAAAATCTACCAATTGGAAAAAGCCAGAGTGCGCAGTTGTGCAGCACCTGTGTGTGTGACCTGTGCCAGAGTGCGCAGTTGTGCAGCACCTGTGTGTGTGACCTGTGCCAGAGTGCGCAGTTGTGCAGCACCTGTGTGTGTGACCTGTGCCAGAGTGCGCAGTTGTGCAGCACCTGTGTGTGTGAGCTGTGCCAGAGTGCGCAGTTGTGCAGCACCTGTGTGTGTGACCTGTGCCAGAGTGCGCAGTTGTGCAGCACCTGTGTGTGTGACCGATGAGTGCCAGTTGTACACCACCTGTGTGTGTGACATGTGCCAGAGTGCGCAGTTGTGCAGCACCTGTGTGTGTGACATGTGCCAGAGTGCGCAGTTGTACACCACCTGTGTGTGTGACCTGTGCCAGAGTGCGCAGTTGAACACCACCTGTGTGTGTGACCTGTGCCAGAGTGCGCAGTTGTACACCACCTGTGTGTGAGACCTGTGCCAGAGTGCGCAGTTGTACACCACCTGTGTGTGTGACCTGTGCCAGAGTGCGCAGTTGTACACCACCTGTGTGTGTGACCTGTGCCAGAGTGCGCAGTTGTACACCACCCGTGTGTGTGACCTGCGCCAGAGTGCGCAGTTGTACACCACCTGTGTGTGTGACCTGTGCCAGAGTGCGCAGTTGTGCAGCACCTGTGTGTGAGACCTGCGCCAGAGTGCGCAGTTGTACACCACCTGTGTGTGTGACCTGTGCCAGAGTGCGCAGTTGTGCAGCACCTGTGTGTGTGACCTGCGCCAGAGTGCGCAGTTGTACACCACCTGTGTGTGTGACCTGTGCCAGAGTGCGCAGTTGTACACCACCTGTGTGTGTGACCTGCGCCAGAGTGCGCAGTTGTGCAGCACCTGTGTGTGTGACCTGCGCCAGAGTGCGCAGTTGTACACCACCTGTGTGTGTGACCTGTGTCAGAGTGCGCAGTTGTACACCACCTGTGTGTGTGACCTGCGCCAGAGTGCGCAGTTGTACACCACCTGTGTGTGTGACCTGCGCCAGAGTGCGCAGTTGTACACCACCTGTGTGTGTGACCTGTGCCAGAGTGCGCAGTTGTACACCACCTGTGTGTGTGACCTGCGCCAGAGTGCGCAGTTGTACACCACCTGTGTGTGTGACCTGTGCCAGAGTGCGCAGTTGTACACCACCCGTGTGTGTGACCTGTGCCAGAGTGCGCAGTTGTACACCACCCGTGTGTGTGACCTGTGCCAGAGTGCGCAGTTGTACACCACCTGTGTGTGTGACCTGTGCCAGAGTGCGCAGTTGTACACCACCTGTGTGTGTGACCTGTGCCAGAGTGCGCAGTTGTACACCACCTGTGTGTGTGACATGTGCCAGAGTGCGCAGTTGTACACCACCTGTGTGTGTGACCTGTGCCAGAGTGCGCAGTTGTGCACCACCTAAAATATTGACTTTTGTTAAGTGCAGACATTAGTGAATTGAACATTGATTTTTTGTAATAATTTATTTTTTATTTTTTTATTTAGATTTAAGGAACCGGATACTTGGTTATCTTGAGGTTATCTTGAGATGATTTCGGGGCTTTAGTGTCCCCGCGGCCCGGTCCTCGACCAGGCCTCCACCCCCAGGAAGCAGCCCGTGACAGCTGACTAACACCCAGGTACCTATTTTACTGCTAGGTAACAGGGGCATAGGGTGAAAGAAACTCTGCCCATTGTTTCTCGCCGGCGCCTGGGAACAAACCCAGGACCGCAGGATCACAAGTCCAGCGTGCTGTCCGCTCGGCCGACCGGCTCCCTAGCTGGATTCAATCAAATGATTTAGCAAGTTGTACTTTAGATAGGTAAGTGGAATTTGAGTTATTTTAGTTATGTCGGGCCAGAGATAAGATATTTTTGATGACTTGGAAGGGACGGAACCGTTTGGGACAGTCGGAGTTGTAACGGGTTGTCGTTTACAAGTATTTTGTATTATTGTCAGTACTTTAATCATGTGTTTTGGTAATTACTGTTTGATTGTAATGGAGTTAGTTAGGATCAGATACATTTTTTTATTTAAGGCATTGGTTTCAATGTTATTTTGGGGGGTTGATGGTTGTAGTAAGAGCTGGGTCAGATATTGGGGCTTTAGAGTAAATTTACACACAAGTTTCTTAATTTTGGAGTGAGGGAGTTGTTGTGATTCTTGGTAGTGATCGTTTGTTACTCCCCACTCTCCCCTCCCCTTATTCCTTCCCCTTCCCACTCTCCCCTCCCCTTATTCCTTCCCCTCCCCACTCTCCCCTCCCCTTATTCCTTCCCCTCCCCACTCTCCCCTCCCCTTATTCCTTCCCCTCCCCACTCTCCCCTCCCCTTATTCCTTCCCCTCCCCACTCTCCCCTCCCCTTATTCCTCCCCCTCCCCACTCTCCCCTCCCCTTATTCCTTCCCCTTCCCACTCTCCCCTCCCCTTATTCCTTCCCCTCCCCTTATTCCTCCCCCTTCCCACTCTCCCCTCCCCTTATTCCTTCCCCTCCCCACTCTCCCCTCCCCTTATTCCTCCCCCTCCCCACTCTCCCCTCCCCTTATTCCTTCCCCTCCCCACTCTCCCCTCCCCTTATTCCTTCCCCTCCCCTTATTCCTCCCCCTTCCCACTCTCCCCTCCCCTTATTCCTCCCCCTTCCCACTCTCCCCTCCCCTTATTCCTCCCCCTTCCCACTCTCCCCTCCCCTTATTCCTTCCCCTTCCCACTCTCCCCTCCCCTTATTCCTCCCCCTCCCCACTCTCCCCTCCCCTTATTCCTTCCCCTTCCCACTCTCCCCTCCCCTTATTCCTCCCCCTTCCCACTCTCCCCTCCCCTTATTCCTCCCCCTCCCCACTCTCCCCTCCCCTTATTCCTTCCCCTCCCCTTATTCCTCCCCCTTCCCACTCTCCCCTCCCCTTATTCCTCCCCCTTCCCACTCTCCCCTCCCCTTATTCCTCCCCCTCCCCACTCTCCCCTCCCCTTATTCCTTCCCCTCCCCTTATTCCTCCCCCTTCCCACTCTCCCCTCCCCTTATTCCTTCCCCTCCTTCTCCTCCCCTCCCCGCTAGACCATAAACACTGCCCGTCTCCAAGTACATACGGCTGTCTCCCCCAAGATGTTGGTGTAAGCCAACTGGGAACACCTTAGTCGTGGGGGCATAAGTGGGTGGAGCCCCTAAGGGAAGTGCCTGGCACTGATTGGCTGGTGTAAGGCCTACAGCCTCGACTTCTAACGACCGGCTGTGTACCGTGCGGGCCCCTAGCCTAGGACACTAGGCTGTGTACCCTAGCCTAGGACACTAGGCTGTGTACCCTAGCCTAGGACACTAGGCTGTGTACCCTAGCCTAGGACACTAGGCTGTGTACCCTAGCCTAGGACACTAGGCTGTGTACCCTAGCCTAGGACACTAGGCTGTGTACCCTAGCCTAGGACACTAGGATAGACTGTGGGTGGAGCTGTTACCTAGCAGTAAAATAGGTACCTGGGTGTTAGTCAGCTGTCACGGGCTGCTTCCTGGGGGTGGAGGCCTGGTCGAGGACCGGGCCGCGGGGACACTAAAAGCCCCGAAATCATCTCAAGATAACCTCAAGATAGGTCACCACTGGAGACGACCTTCAACATCTTGGCTGGTAATGGCAGAAATAAGATGACCCAAGATAAGATATCTAGGGTTACGTACTTGGTTTTATCATTCATCATTGTCTCGTTAAGGGATTTAACGAGGTAATTTAACAATTTAATAATGTGTTACCCCCATTCAGAATTAAAGATATTCCCTGATTCTTAGTAAGTAAATTAAAGAGTTTCTATATATTACTCCAAGAAGTAAAGTACAGTTTTCCGGTGTCATTCGAGTAATTATTAGTTGAGAGTGTTGGTACATTTTTGGGTCAAAGTCGACTTTGTAAGTTGTGTTAAGCTGGGGTATAATGGGGGTGTAACATCTGGTATTACAAGACCTGTGCCAGAGTGCGCAGGTGTACAGCACCTGTGTGTGTGACCTGTGCCACAGTGCGCAGTTGTACAGCACCTGTGTGTGTGACCTGTGCCACAGTGCGCAGTTGTACAGCACCTGTGTGTGTGACCTGTGCCACAGTGCGCAGGTGTACAGCACCTGTGTGTGTGACCTGTGCCACAGTGCGCAGGTGTACAGCACCTGTGTGTGTGACCTGCGCCACAGTGCGCAGTTGTACAGCACCTGTGTGTGTGACCTGTGCCACAGTGCGCAGGTGTACAGCACCTGTGTGTGTGACCTGTGCCAGAGTGCGCAGTTGTACAGCACCTGTGTGTGTGACCTGTGCCACAGTGCGCAGGTGTACAGCACCTGTGTGTGTGACCTGTGCCACAGTGCGCAGTTGTACAGCACCTGTGTGTGTGACCTGTGCCACAGTGCGCAGGTGTACAGCACCTGTGTGTGACCTGCGCCACAGTGCGCAGGTGTACAGCACCTGTGTGTGTGACCTGTGCCACAGTGCGCAGGTGTACAGCACCTGTGTGTGTGACCTGCGCCAGAGTGCGCAGGTGT